TGACATCCTCCAGTGTCCTCACTGTCCTGGGTCTGACATCCTCCAGTATCCTCACTGTGCAGTCTAACATTCACCAGTGTCCTCACTGTGCAGTCTAACATTCACCAGTGTCCTCACTGTGCAGTCTGACATCTTCCAGTGGTTTCTCTTTTCTTGCATTCTCTCCAAAATTTATTGCTTGTTTTCTTGTGCTAATATGAAACCTCAAATTTTTTGTTTTCTTTGGTGGCTAAAACACGTTGGAGAATTTTAAAGTATTATTGGCTGTTTGTTTCCATTTGAGATATTTCTGTTCAATGCATTAGCTCATTTATTGATGGTGAGATTTAGGGCTTGGATGTTTAATTTTTGCAGTTCTTTCTGTTTTCTAAATGGTAGCTCTGAATGCAGTTGGCACAGCCTTTCTTGCCTTCTGTAGGCTGTGTGCTTAACCTGCTGGTGGTTTCTTGTGCTGTGCAGAAACTTTGTATTTTCATATAATTCCATTGTCAATTCTTAGAGTTGTTCCCTGTGCATTTAGAGCTCGTTTCAGAAGATCCTTGCCTCTGCCTGTATTCCCTATTTTCCTCTGGCAGTTTCAGAGGCAGCTTCCCGTCAGAACTACCTTAGCTGTCATCCAGGGCTAGTGAATTGTGATGTTTTCATTTGCGACTAGAAGCTTTTAAAATTCCCCCTCTGCCTTACTCAGTCTCTCACTGTACATTCAAACGTGTGTTTTTTAGGGGCTGTGGATGTTGGTAGAGTGCTTGCCTAGGATGCAAAAGTCGTGGATTTGATCCTCAGAAGTAAATAAATAACAAAAGTGCATCATCCAGTGTGAGTGTCAGCTTAGTTTCTGTGGTTTCCCTTGCTACTGATTTATAGTTCTAGTTCAGTATAGTATGATACATTATTAGGAAGTATTTCAATTTCATTAAGGCTGGCTTTGTGGCCTATGATTTAATTGATTTTAGAGAAGATTTCATCTGCCACTAAGAGGTCCTTGTTCTCTGTCAGTGGGGTGAGGCATCTCACAGCTATTTCTTGATCTGTGGCACAAGTTAGATCTGATACTTCTTTGATATTTGGGGAGGGTCTGGAGGACACCCCTAAGGAACAGAGTAGGGTACTGAGGTCCCCCACTGTTGTGGTCAGGAACTATCTGAAGTTGCATGCCCATTAATGTTTGTTGTATAAAGCTGAGAGTCCTAAAATTCAGTATATAAATACTCATTCTTGTTTTCTGCCTTCTCTATGGGTTGTTCCTTTAAAACATGTAGGCTGCTTCTCCGTCTCCTGTGATGAGGCTGGGGACCATCCTGCAGTGTTACGAACATGTAGAGCAGGTGAGAGGAGAGGATCCAAGGGCAGGATGTGATGAAGCAGGGACACACAGATGCCCCAAGGTGCTGGCCACCCACAGTTTTTGCTTTGAGTTTTGGTTACATTAACATTCACTTTATAATAATTGGTTAAAAATCTACATTTCTGATTTAAATACCATCTGTGATTTTTTTTACAATATAAAAAAATTTAAAAATATATCCTGAGAATTGATTGAAAGGAATCCAGTTTAAGATACCCTTTAACAATCTTATTTATCCTACTTCAGTTTTAATAAAATGTAGAGCTATTTAATGAGGCAGAAATGACCTGGAAAATTATTTTTCTTAACCTAAATGATCATATCTGTGTCTTGTTATAAGGTTCATTACCATGGAAGCCAGATAAATGAATAGATTCTATTTGAGAAAAAAATACATAGAGTTAAAAGTGAATGTTCACTTTTTTCTTTTCTGTGACCTGTACCATAGTTTAAAATTCTTCTCAGTGTGTCACGTGTTACTTCTGGGAACTAAGTCTGAAGCATCTCTCTCTGCTCAAATCTCCTCAGGACAGAAGCTTAGCAAAGTCATGCCCCCCCACTCACCCCATGTTACCATTAGGAGCAGAAATGCCCTGGAGCTCTCTCCTGGATTCCCACAGGTTTATGGGGGGTGGGGATGCAGCTCCTGGAGAGTGCCATGTTTCCAGGCTCCACAGCCATACAGGAAACAGGGAAACAAGGCAAACACTATCCAGACTGTGGCGTGTTTGTGCCTGTGTAAAACTTAACATAGACTCTTATTTTAAAATTGTTTTCTTCCTTTTTTTTGTTTTCTTTTTGTATTTTATGTGTGGTGAGGGTCACACATGCCTCACAGTGCACATACAATAGTTGAGGACAACCTGCCAGGAGCTGGTTCTCTCTCCTTCCACCAGTGGGTCCCCAGGATTGACCTCAGGTCACCAGGCTTGGCAATGTACTTTTACTGATGAGCCCTCTTGCCAACCCGGTTGCTGTTGTTAATGACATCTCTTGGCATTCCATCACTTCATGAGAACACCTCAAAGGTGGGCATAGCGGGGCCATCATTAGTGACTGTGTGTTGGGAATGACAGTGACTCTTGATCACTTCACAGTCTCTTCCCATCATGCATTTTGTTTCAATCTGACCAGGCTATTGAGCAAACTCAGGTCTATAGTTGTAATTTTATTTGGGGGACAGAGTCTTTGATCAGCAGGAAAATCTTTCATCAGCTCCTTTTGCAAAACATGACTCATTTCCAGAGCGACAGCGTGGGCCTCTAAGCCACTGAACATCTCGTAATTGAAATATAGAAATTACATAATTTATGTGGCAGCAGTGGGGATCTGTTTCATTGCTGATGGCTTTGATGTTGCTGAAGGACTGGAGCCGGGCAGTGTGGTTAGACTGTGGACTGTGGGGAATTCTCCATCGCTTTCTTATCTCTCCAGTTTACCTATTCACTTCTGTTTTAATGCAGGTACAGCTTAACTGTTTGGACTGGAAAAGATGACATTTATTCCACTGAAGATTTACTTTACATTCGAGACTACTTTAATAAAACCCAAGTTTTCTATGATATTTTAGAACCACAAAACCATGAATTTAAACAAGCCATTGGAATCCGAGTCATTCTCTAATAATATAGTTTATATTTTTTTTCTAAATCACTTTCTCTTTGGTTTCATGATCCTTACTGCTTTGATCTCAATCAATGGCAGTATTAATTGTAATTATTGGTTTATGCTAAATTTATCTAATCAGAAATGCTTATTGTGTGCTTCCTCTGACTTTACAATGTCTCGTGGCACTACATGTCTGTACAAGACTTTACCAACTGCAATAAAATTGTTTTAAAATTATAGTGAAAATGTTGAAGCTGGGTAGCAAGTGCCTGTAAAACCCCAGGACTTCTGCGACTAAAACAGGAAGATCAAGAATTCAAGACCAGCCTGGGCTATGTTGTGATACCCTGTCTCAAGTTTTTTATAGCATCTCTATAATCATCATACATTTTGTAAAAAGACTTGAATTAATAAATTAACTACTTTTTGATGAAATTAGAAGTACAAGCTTTTTGTCCAGAATGAAGTTCTATCTAACCCTTAGCAACTTTCTTGAGAAGTGTTTCTGCAGTTGTTTGTCTCTTTGTTGTATGCATATGTGTATGTGTGCCGTGGTGAGTGTGTGGGGGTCAATGTGGAGGAATGGGTTCTCCTTCCCTCGTGTGCATCCTGGAGATCAAACTCAGCTGTCAGCTCAGCAGCACGCAGCTTTACTGCTGAGCTATCTTTCTGGCCTAATACTCTTAAGACAATAGTATGTAGCGGTTAAGTAATATTCAAGATGCTGCCACTCAGATTAAGGTCTAAAGGAACTTAAGGTGTTCTAAGAAGCAAAAGAGCTTAACAGGGAATTGTGAGATTTATTCTTCCGCAGGTGTATTCTGAACGGTCACCTGTGTGGGGAAATGACAGCACTCACAACTTCACATACACATAACTGAAGGGCACCTTTGGCCTAAATTAAAGAGCTGAGCCTAGTAAGCATTTGGCAGTGAGTTATAGAGGTTTCATGAGTCCTGAGGAAGGCAGGAAGCACTAACTCTAAAGGAAAACAGAGACAAATGGTCTTTAACAAACTTTTCATTACAAGACACCATTAAGATAGCTCAGAAATTAAGAGCACTGGCTGCTTTTCCATAGGACTCAGTGGCTCCCAGTGGTCTGAAACTTCAGATTTACAGGATCTGATGCCACATTCTGGCCCCCTCAACTACTGTACTCATGTGGTGGACAGGCATACATTCAGACAAAGCACCCATACGCATGAAATAGAAATAAGTTCTTAAAAATAAAATCAGAGACACAGTTGAGGCACATCTGACAACGGACTGCTATTTTATGCAAAGAGCTCCTATAAACTAGTAAAAAGCTAAAAGCCTGAATTTAAAAATGAGACAAAAACTAACCGATATATCACAAAATGAAATATTTATATGCCCAAAGCAAGTTTTTCTGGAAAGGTTCTGACGGTATTACCTCTCATCCAGGAAAAGTCCATTTAAGGCACAGTGAGATAGCAGTGCGGATGTCACAGAATGGCTGGCACTATAAGGACTGACACCTTGTGTGGGGGTGGGGGGAGAGCATTCCTGTAGTACCTATATTAGTAAAGATAATAACTCTGCCCTAGGACCTAGCCATTCAATCCATAAATGTAAAGTCAAGGGAGTGCCCGTGTTCACAGAAAGACTTGTGACAGAATGTTGGTGGCAGTCGTATCCTGAGCCCCTGATTAGAAATAGCACATTTCCATCTGCAAGGAGGCTGCAAATATAACGGACTGACTACACAGTCCTGAAACAGTGCGAGCCACTTCTCCGCAGTCAGGATAATAGTACACACAAAGCAGAAGGAAGAGGACAGCTGAGCACATGCTCTGTGGGTTGAACAGAGGTCAGAATGATGGATGCTCCTGGTAGAATATTGGATGGGCAGTGGGGTAACTTGAGGAAGTCATGAAAATGAAATGTCCATGGCTGTGCCAACATGCATACTTGGATGTGTGTGGCGAGGAATTTACTGAGAGGTCCATTCTACTGTGTTGTAAGGTATACATCTCAATCTTTGGTAGTATTTTCACAGACCTTGATATACAAAAATGTATAAGTTGCTAACAGACACTGAGAAGCCAGCCCTTTCAGCTTTTGTTAATGTAGAAAGATGCTATGGGTCACAAAACAGCGTTAGGGGGCAGAATTCTGTGCAAAGTTGTGTGTATGCACAGAAGAATTTTGGAAAGAAGTTCAAACACTTGACTCTTCCACATTCCCCAAGCCTAGGGTGTCAGTGTTCTAGTCCTGTAGTCTTCGAGTTCTGCTTCCTGCAACTCACAAGAGCCACTTTAGAGGAGCCATTGATAAGTTTGATTGTTCCAAAATTCAGAGCCTTTCAAATCTACAATTGCTTTTGGTCCTGTGAGAATGATGTAACCACTCACTAGCCATTAGGATTTGATTTCTCCAGTGGGAAATTATTAAAACTAATTTGGATCAGTTTGTTGATTTGCTTGGTGTCTTAGTTCTCTGGGCTTTATTCCTGGTAATCACCATCTAGTGAATTCATAGAAAGGGGCTGTATCCCTCTCCTTGTCGCTTTTGATGTGAGCCTGCCTGTGAGGAGCTTTCAAGGTCCTGAGAGTCACAAGAGTCATGCGTTTGTGAACAAAGGCAAGAGTAGTGTTTAGAAGAAAGATTCAGACGGGCTCAATCTCTTCCTCTAGAAAATCAGATTGATTCAGTTGGCTGGCCTAAGAAGGACTTCTGTCCGGGCTTGACATAGGCCTGCAGGGGAACTAGGGTTACTGTTCTAGCGGCCATGTTTATATTATCTTCCTACTTTGCCTGTCATTACTTGTCTCTCTTCTTTGTACTCATCAGTGTAAGCCTGGACCACAACTTGACCCGTCATGTGGTTTTGGAAGAAGCCCACAGTTTCCTGGGCTCAGGGAAGAGGAAATGGAACAGATATCTGATCTCTATGTACCAAAAACTCTACAAACATTTCACTGTGACTCCATCCAGGTTGTGGGGAAGGCCCCAGTCAGCTGAGAAGAAACCTTGAGATGCCTCTGAGGAGCTTGGACTCTCTAGGGATCACAGACCTTCTGGAAGCAGAAATGGGGTGTGGTTAATCTGGAGTGTTAGGAAGACAGGGAGAGCCAACCAGGAGACTGGGGATTCTCAGAGAAGAGAAATGAAGGCTCGAATCAGAGTGATAGGAACGGGGCTCAAGAAACGGAAGAAATGGTCATGGGGCTGTGGTCCCATAACTAGTTCACTACGGAGCAGAGAGAAGCTTGTGTGACTGACAGGAAACCTGGCTGATGGCACAGGACAGGGAAGAAGCCAGCTGGAGCTTTCTTTCTCAAGGGGTCATTGATGCTACTCCATACCAGTTTGGAGAGAAAAATGAAAACCTTCACTAATTCTGGACCTAGTTTCCATTCTAAGGAAGACATACTTTAAGTAACTCTACTTTCTAAGGTCTTTACCCCATCTCACCCCACTCCCATAGTGATGTTGACTCTACTACATAATTAAATTATTTCATAATCCTAGACAGTAAAACTTCCCACTCAGCCCACAGTTACAGTATGTGTGGAGGGGTGGCTGACCAGTCTTCCAGATCCTTCCCATCGTCTTTGTTCCTGTGCCTAGGCTGGCTGGACACAAGATCTGGTAGGGCCTGAGCCATCTGTGTTTTCCCAGGATCATACATAGACACACACACACACACACACACACACACACACACACACACACACACTGTTTCCCCAGGATCATACATACACACAAACACACATGCACGCATGCACACACATACACACTCACACACACTCTTACACTCACACACAAACACATACACACACACACACACACACACACACACACACACACACATTCCTGTTCTCCTGTTGAACACCAACCTTTGGGTGCTCCTGCCTTCGTGAGACTGTAATAACTTACTTTATCACTGGCCGTGGTAATTTAAGAGCTTTACCCAGTGAGGTCCTGTTCTGCCACCTTCTTTCCCACTGATTCTGTAGTTCTTAGAACTGCTCCGTCATGGCTGCCTGCTGTAGGATAGGTTCACATCTGCACTGACCAGAATGTTCTATCAGCTTCCAGTTCAGGGCAGCTTCCACGTGTCTCTCAGGGGAAGTGACATTTATTCCTTTATTCCAAGTTCCTGGTCCCAGTAAGGACCCTCAGTTGCAGGAACTAGCTAGTAATTTTTTTTTTCTATTTGAGAAAATTGATTTGGATTGAAATGCTTTCCTGGGCAATCAAAATCTGTGCAATCCCTACCAACACCGAGTGAGCACAAGAAGCAGAAGGCTGGGCTCATGACTGAAATCCAGAATCTGCCTTCGGCTTTCCCTATTCAGTCTAGAACAAGTAAAGACAATCTCAAAGAAAGCCCATTAGATAAGAGGCCTTCCTGTTGAGTGTCTGAGCCACAGCTGTCCCTTTTGTGTGTTTCCAGGAATGGCACCTCTGTCTCCCTAGGACAAGCTTCTCCATAGATTGGCAGCCCTAATGGAAATATTCTAGTAGCTTCTTTTCTAGTCACGTTTGATTGCATTTGAAAGACTCTTCTTGAGCTAAATACTACTTTATCTATCTATCATCTATCTATCTTATCTAATCTATCTATCTATCTATCTATCTATCTATCCATCCATCCATCCATCCATCCATCCATCTATCTATCTATCTATCTATCTATCTATCTATCTATCTATCTATCTATCTATCTATCTATTGTATGACTACACTATTGCCGTCTTCAGACACACCAAAAGAGGGCATTGGGTCTCATTACAGATGGTTGTAAGCCACCATGTGGTTGCTAAGAATTAAATTCAGGACCTCTGGAAGAGCAGTCAGTGCTCTTAACTACTGAGCCATCTCTCCAGCCCCTAAATACTACTTCTTTTATTAACTGTTTGGTAGACTCTTTATCATATTTTTCATCTTCTTGCATTGATTAGTTGTGAATCAATGTGACAAACCACCTACAGAAAGACTGAAGAGAGAAGGCTTTATTTGGCATCATGATCTCGGAGGGTTTCAGTCCACTCTGGGGTGGAATGCATGGCAGTGGGACCATACGGCTATGGCTGTGGCTGTACCCTGTAGAGCCAATAGGGTGGAGACAGTGACTCAGAACTAGGGCTCATACTATACCCTGCAAAAGTGCTTGCCAAGTGACTTCTCTGCCAGCCAGGCCCTACCTCGGAAAGGCCCCAGTGTCACAAAATGGTGCCACCAGCCTAAAGAACAAGTGTTCAAAACAGGAGCCTATGGGAAACATCTTCAGTTCAAACCACAACTTTTCTTACATGTACATTCTGGTTTAAATGCCATCCCCATAATCAGATCTTTCACAGTTGATTAAGGAATGCTGGATCAGTCATAGACACAGATTAATCTTCCAGTCACGAGATCCAGGCCTGTTGGCAGTTCCAGCATACACTGACTGTACCAAGCTAGCGATTA